CGGACATTGCAGGCATGGCTGCAGCGTGAGGAAGCAGAGAGGCAGGAAACTCATGACGGTGTTGAGGATGCTTAGTGGGGGACGGCAGAAAATTAAAATGGGAAGAGAACCCCAGGCCAGATCGTGAAGGACCCTGAACGTCAGGCTAAGGAGTTTGGCCAAAGTAGTCTCTGCCAAAGAAGCCAGAAAAAAATTTAAAAAAAGAAAAAGAAAAAGGCTAGAAACAGCATGTGGCATCTCTTTAGAGTGGTCTGCATAGAGAATGGAACTAAGAGAGAGTCCCATTAGGAGACCACTGCAGGAGCCCACGGTGATGGCAAAACCAGAGCAGGACACTGGGAGTGAAGAGCAGAGATGATTCCAGAAGCCTTCAAGAGGAAGGATGCACAGGCGAGGGATAGGATACTGGAGGTGAGAGACAAAGAGGAATCCACATCCTCTACTGAGACAGTAACAGTAGCTGACACACACTGAGAGCTTGCCTCGAGCCAGGCATTGTTTTAAGCACATTACATTTATTACATATATTATCACATTGAGTCTTCACATGAGCAGTATAAAGTATATACTATTATTTTACCTATTCTACAAATGAGAAATCATTTTAAAAAGCATTGTTAGGGATAGAAAATGTAGTTAAATAGTAAAAATTGCAAATCACCAGGAAGATATGAAAAATTCTGAATTTGCATAAACCTAATAAAACAGGCACACAATATGTGAAACAAAATTTGGGGGATCATCAGGAGAGAATTAATCGATCCATCCTTATACTGGAACATTTTAACATAATGTTCTTACTTAAAGAAAGGTCAAGCAGACAAAATCTAGGTAAGAAAGAGGCAGCTTAATAATACAGCCATGAGGCCGGCCCCGTGGCTTAGCAGTTAAGTGCGCGCACTCCACTGCTGGCAGCCCGGGTTCGGATCCCAGGCGCGCACCGACACACCGCTTCTCCGGCCATGCGGAGGCCGCGTCCCAGGTACAGCAACTAGAAGGATGTGCAGCTATGACATACAACTATCTACTGGGGCTTTGAGGGGAAAAAATTAATTAATTAATTAATTAAAAAAATAATACAACCAACATGGTGAGTCTAACTGACATGTGTAGAACTCTGCATCTTAGAGTTAGAGGATACACATTCTCTCAGGAAACCTTCTACAAAAACGGACCAGCAGCAGGCCACGAACCAGACCCAACAAATTTCAAAGAGTTATTAATACAGGTTTTTCTGACCACAATGTAGGCAAGTTACAAGTCAATAACAGAAAGATAATAAGAGTATTTCCCATACCTTTGCAAATTAAAAATTCTACATAACTCATAGGTTGAAGAAGTCATGACAGAATCTAAAAATGCATAGAACTAAGCAGTAATGAAAATACTACCCATTAAAACTTGTGGACTCAAAGAAGTAATTAAGGAAATTTATAGCACCAGTTGTGATTATATTAGAAAAGAAATTCTGAAATTAATAAGCTAAGTGTCAAACTTAAAGGTTAAGAGAAGAAGGAAAATGAGATAAAGTAGAGCAGAAAGTAATAAAACTGAAAGTAAAGATACAATAGAATTAAGAAAGCCAAAATGTGTTATTTGAAAAGGCCAAATGAAATAGACATTTTTTCTTGTGTAAATGACAATAAAAATGTGGATAAAATACAAATAAAAATATTTAAAGTGAGGAGAGGGATGTAGAGCTACAGCAGAGATTAAAAATATAACTAGACTTCTGATTCTAGGTGTGATGGACCAACACCCAAGATGATCCCCAACTCCTGCAGAAAATAGCTATAAAACATGAGCACAGTGAAAAACGAAGCCCCCACACGAAGAGACTGGAGAGTGAACAGAATCAGGCAGACTGGTGGGGAGCATGTTGTTAGTGAGTAAGACCTCATCTCCAAAGCCTTAGCCAGCAGCTAAGTTCAGTCTCGTGGCATGCACAGCGGCAGCAGCAATGGGCCACAAAAATACACAATCTCTCTTGCCTGAGGAACCAGGACCAAGAAGGCAGGAAAATAGGAATGCTGAAAAAGTGGGGAGAACCCAGAGGAAAAGATCCAGAGAGGGAATCCCAAGTCACTGCCTTCCTGTGTCTCTGACTGGCCGTGTACCACACGTGTATGGAGAGAATCAGAGCAGGTCAGCTGAAGATAAGGTATCAGAACTGAGAGTGAAGCTGCTGCCCCCGGAACGAAGTTGACAGTCCACGCCTATCAAAGAGAATGACCTGCTACAGCAAAGCCAACAACACTCACTGGAGAATAACAACAAAACCCAGAATGTCCAGAATTAACATCCATAATATCTAGGATACAATGCAAAATTACCTGACATGCAAAGAACCAAAAAAAAATGGAACACACTCTGAACATAAAAGAAAATTAATTGAGTCTGACCCTGACATGAAACAGATTTTGGAACTGATAGACAATGATTTTAAAAGAACTCTTATAATTATCTTCAATGAATTAACACAAGCATGTTTTCAGTGAAGGAAGATCTCAGCAGAGAAATGGGAAATTTCAGCAGAAAAATAGAAGCAATAAAAAGAGCCAAATGGAAATTCTGAAACAGAAGAATAAAAATTCTGAAATTAAAAAATTCACTGGATGAAGTTGACGTCAAATAATTGTGACAAAGGAAAGGCAAAGTGGCCTTGATGATAGATCAATAGGAATTATTCAAGGTGAACAGAGAGAAAAAAAATCTTTAAATGAACAGAGCATCAGAGACTGTTAGATAAAATCCAGCTGCCCAATACATGTGCAATTGTAATACCAGAATGAGAGGAGGTGGATAAACAGGTAGAAAAAGTATTTGGCAAATTTAAAGGCTAAATTTGATGAAGACATAAATTTACAGATACGAGATGCTCAGCAAACATCAAACAAAATAAACACAAAGAAGCCCAATCTAAAGTGCATTGTAGTCAAACTGTTAAAAACCAAAGACAGCAAATAAATCGTGAAAACAGGAAAAGAAAAATGCAGGGAAATAACAATTCAATTAATAGCTGATTCTCATTAGAAACCGTGGTGACCAGAAGAGAGTGGACCAAAATTCCGAAATGCTAAAAGGAAAAAAAAAACAAACTATCAACCTAGAAATCTATATTAAATGAAAATATCCTTCAAGAGTGAAGGTTAACTGAAGACATTTTCACATAAAACCAAGTGAAAAGAATTGTTTGCCAACAGATCCATACAACCAGAAATGCTAAAGAAAGTTCTTCAAGAAGCAGGAAAATGATACCCGATGGAAACTCGTATCATTGAGAAAGAATAAAAAGCATCAGAAATGATAAGTAGTGGGCAAATGCAAAAGGCAATTTTCTTTTTTGACATTTTCTTCTTAATTTCTTTACAAACCATGTACAACAATTATAACAGCATAGGACTGGATATAGGCCTGAAAACTTGACATACTTCTATATTTCATGTGATGTGATACATTATTAACTCTTTACAGACTGTGAAAAGCTAAGAGTATATATTATGATCTCTAAGACAACCCCTAAAAAATATGCAAAGAAATACAGCTAAAAATAAGGAAATTAAAATTCTAAAAAATATTCAAACAATAAAATGAAAGCTAGAAAACAAGAAAGAGTCCAACAAGAAGTAGAGGAGACAAGTAGAAAACAAAGAAAAAACCAAATGATAGACCAAACCCAGCCATAGCTATAATTTCGTTAAATGTGCATATAGAATGTTTACGAGGATAGACCATATTATGGGCATTAAAAATGTCTTCATGAGTTTCAAAAGACTGAAGCCATGTACAGAGTATTCTTGGATCCAGTGAATTTAAAGTAAAAATCTATAAAAATAAGAGGGCCAGAATAACTTTACATGTTTGCAAATTAAACAACACATTTCTAAATAATCAGCGGGACAAGCAGACATTACAGGGAAAATTAGCAATAATTTGAACTGAATAATAATGTAATTCAGCACATCAAAACTTGTGGGATGTAGCTCACAGCATCCAGAGGGAAATTTTTAGCTTTAATAGTTTTATTAGAAAAGATGAAAAATCTAAGCAAAGATCTTCCACCTTTACACACTAGAAAAAGAAAAGAAAATTATGCCAAAGCAAGTAGAAGAGAGCAATGAGAACAAGAACATCAGTCTATGAAGTAGGGTAAAGAAAGAACAGAAGTGATAACACCATTTGGATTCATCCAGTCTGCTCAGTGTTTTTCCTTCACTAGCTGATTATAGTATGACATGCCTTTACCATCAGATTGGCTCGGTGTTACCACTTTTGCTCAGAAAGATAGTATTTTTCCTTCTCCTCACTGTGTGCCCTGCCTTTCCACCAACTTTGTCTTTCAGAAAGTTAACACTTTCATTCGCAGTAGGGGTACACATACACTTATATGCCTACATATGTACCTCTCCATGCTTATTATTCACTGTAAGTGTTTTATTAATGTTCTAAGGGGATAGTCCAAATCTCTTTTGATTATACAAAGGTCCAGTGTCACTGAGGATACAATATATAGACTCAAACATATTCATGACAGCGAAACTGCCAATTCCTCCAGGAGTAGCAAAGGAAGCTGGTGGACAAAATGGAAACCGTTCTGTAGGATATGGATGTAGGTGTATGCATCTGTACATATACAGATTTCACCCCAAAGTTTCAGATAAAAGAAATCGGTCCCTTTAGTACCAGTGTCTTCCACCCCTTATGGTAGCAAGTTTCTTAATCTGCTCTGTGTGTTGACTCTGTGTGTCCTACCCAAGAAAGTTCTAGAATGGTCTAAAGATTTTATGGGTTTATATTGTCAGTGTGTAAAGATTCAGAGAGAAGCTTCACATGAGGTTATATTGAGAACAGCTGTATATATTTCACTGTATTTAAAGGACACTTGGATGCAACTCAGAATATATATATTTTTGGAAGAGGTCAATTCATTTTACATGAGTGTCCATCAAAAGCCTAGATGACTTCCTTGATTTTCATGTTTCTTATTTTTTCTCTTACAGATAAAGAATTCATCTACAGAGAACAGAAAGGAAATGTGATGCTGCAGAACGTTGAAACAAATATTTCTACAGTGTTAATAGAAGGCAAAAAAATTGTAAGTACTCTCTGTAATGACCAGGATAATTTCAGTTTTCCCACCTGCAAGCCAATAAAGCAGAAAATGACTTGAGGTTTCAACTTTTAGTATAGCCGGCAGAAACGATAAACTGGTAATACTCCCGGTATGGGCTGAGCCACTAAAGATAATGTGAAATTGAAACCACACTAATTTAATGAGATGAAAGCAAAGTTTCTTTCCGTGTAGGGGAAATTTCTCTGCAGGTGTTGGAAACAAGTGTTGCATATCATGTATAATTGAAAGATAAAGTCCTAAGGCTTTCCACATTTACAGAACAATTGCAATAACGCACAGGGAAGACTTCGGGAGAACTTGCTCAATCTCGGTTTTTAAAAATACTCATCTCCACATGTGCAGGGAATATTAACTTAGACACTGACTGTACTTACTCTAATGACAGTAAGTGATGTTTATGCTTTAAAACAAGTACTGAGTTGATATGAATGCCACTGCTTTATAATCTGTGAAAACCTGTTTTCCCAAAGATTTAAATGACAAGATTTGGAGTTCATGTACAGTTAAAGATATTTATTAAAAACATTGACTGAGTTATGTACTAAAAATCAATTTAAAGAGAATTAACTTTTTTTTTTTTTACAATATGCTCTTGCTCATTATTAGAAGGTATAAATCTCCAACTTTAGGGAGCTGGTCATTTTCTTGTCCAATACACTGGGAAATCAAAGGAAAAAACTAAGGCGAGTTCTGGATCAGAACAATCATAACACACCTCTGGTGTGAAACACCGGAATCCTAGAATCCTAGAATCCAGGGATTGGAGGAGACTGTGGAAAAAATTAGGCAGTTCCCTGGTTTTACAGCGAAGAACCCTGAGCCAAGTTAGTGAGTGAGCTTTTCAGAGCCCTGCAGCTCCTTGATGACTGGGTGAAGATTCCGGGGGGTCCCTGGAGCCTCCATCCCACGGACAAGAATGGATGGTCCATCTTCACGCCACCCCATCTCTGGACCCATAGAAATGCTGCTCTACATTCTTTTCCCTCCTCAGGAACATTTAACTTGCTATTTGAATTCTTTCATTTCCTTTTTTGGGGGGTGTAAAGATACTTTTTTCTTTTAAAAAATGTTTATTGAGATTTAGTATTAAATGGATCCTGCCCTTTGCATGGACTGTTTGCTGGTGTAAGGGAGGCAGGCAAGGTTGTATTATGGTGTAGTTCCCAAAATGATAGCCTTATTGAATTAAATAGTGTCCTGCAAAGTAAGACGCAAGAAGAATGACTGTAACTGCATTTTTGCATTAGAAAATCATCTTTGGTAGAATTACTCCCCTAAGAAAATCTGATTCAACGTACTTAAAAATCCTGAAGTTGCAGAAATGTTTTTCTAATATTAATCGAGAGGAGAAAATGATCAGACTGTGGCTGAGGGTAAGTACATTTCAGCGTCAGAATGTTGTCGATATTTCCTGTGAGGATGTCAGTGAGTGAGAGCAGGCTGCTGTACATACACCTGCACCTAGTAATGAAATACAAGAATGGAAACTGCCTTCTCTTCCTCAAATCAATAACTTGTGACACATCATATATTTTAACTGAAGTTGTTTTAGCCAAGTAATAAGATGACTTCAGAAATCATGTTAGGTAAAGAAAAAAGCAAGACCTCCTCTTGCAAATTGGCAGGCTTATTCCATATAATGCAATCTTTTTCTTCTTAAAATGTCATTTATTCAATTAAATTATTTAAAACATATTAAAAACATTTATTGAGCACCAAATGTGTACAGCCTGACCAATACTATACAGGATGGTGCCTAGTTTATTCTTGTCTCAAAGCAACGTTTAAATGCTCCTCTAAACAGACCTCAAGAGAAGTAAAAAGAGGAAATGTCATGTAGGCGCCTACATCATAATTTAGAATGCAGAAGCTCCGGATGGAAGTTCTGTTGAGCCGGTTAGTCATTTAAACTTCTTGTGCTTCCATTGTTCCATCTCCAAGTTGAACCTGACGTTTCTTCCGCCAGCCTACAACACGGGCCTCTGTGAGGTCCAGCCGTGGAGTATCTGTCTGCTCTCTGTGTTCTCACGAGGAAGTATTGAGAAAGTGAAGCGCAGTGTTCTGAGGGTCCAGGGTTTGTAGGGTCCTCTGCGCCCGGGAGGATGCGAGTGGGCTGGAGAGAGCAGGAACATGGGACAGTGGCCCCTGGGCATTCTGTCCTTCCTTTCTGATGACTCACCAGGGGGTCTCTTCTTGTTTGAAACCCAGAAGCTTTAAGATTGTTTAAATGATAAAGGCAAGCTGCGGAAAAGAACTGTGCTACATGTGAGGCCAACTGAAATCTTAGGTTGGTCTATGAAACAAACTGAAACTAGTGGACAAATGGAAATGAAGCAGCAAATGCTGAGGTCAGCAGAATTGTAAAATATTAACCTATGACCTTGACCTCTAACCTCATTCTCTTTCTCCAGCCACTAAGAACAGACCCTTCACACACAAGGTCACGTTAGGGTATCCAAGCCCATTTGCCTTCAGCTTCCTCTGGCTCCCTGGCTTCCCATGACCCGCTCTTTCCCGGATGGATCAATGGAAGGGGATACAAATGAATGCAAACACTACCCGATCCAACAGAAAAGCTTTTAAGATAATTGATGATTATGCGAATGCAGAGCTTGTGCCAGACTGGGCTTAGCTGGATGTGTCTCACTTGCCCCAAACAGCTTCCTTTGACCAAAAGTTTTAATTCAGTCGTCCCTTATCATACCTCCAAATGGTAGAAATCAGATCACGAAATATTTCAGAATACCACAAACACTTGAAATTGTGAGTTCATGTCTACATTTAACATTCTATGGTGATTACATCATCGTTCACACTTTTTCTTGAATTCTCTTATTTTTTATATTAATGTTTTTGATATTGGGATATTTTCAGATCCTTATTTGATAGCACATCATATTTGATGGTATATAATAATTCATTTTTAGGAATCATTTATCAAAATATCTTGGTCCCTTTTCTTTATTTTTAATATTTTGAGGTATTCCTTCAGATTTCTACAGAGAATGAAATCACAAGCACATTGTCTCTGAAAGAGCTCCTCTCCCATAACGTCTGCTCCTCAGCTCTAAAGCTCACTGGAGGCAGGTTCTGCCTTTGACTTAATTATGTCTGCTCCACAGTACTTAGCACAGTGACCTGCACTTAGTAGGTGCTTCATAACTGTGTATTTTACGGATGAGTGTAAAGGACAAAACAGAGGCAGGCGGTCTCCCAGGGGCGTCAGTGTGGTGAGAGGTTTGGGGGCGGTTCAGCACTAGGGTGCAACCTCAGGACCTGCCTCCCCACGATGGAACTGCACTCTGCTCAGTAGTGACAGGCCCTCAGGAGAGTCGTATAAGCCCCGTGCACCTCCGTCCTGCCTCTCAGGAGCCTGGTAAGGACTAAGTGAGAGATGTATGTAGCCTGCTGGAATGTGGGCATGAGCCACGTGTTCCAGAGTGTTAGGCTGGACTGGAGAGCCGGGCAGCTCAGGGCTCAGGCCGGATGGGTGAGGTGGTTCTAAGCAGGAAGACACAGAGGATGACCAAGCCAGCAGCAGCAGAGGGTAGAATTGGTGCCACTTGAGTATGGACTCCTTCTCTGTGGGAATCGAGGCCAGGCTGCTTCCCAAAGCAAGGCAGGGTCTTCGAAGCTGGTAATTTATAGCCAGGAGCACTCTCTCAGATTGCTAAAAATAAAGAAAAACTCAAACGTAAACTAACTTTCACTTGAATTACATATGTGATATACCAGCAATTCCAGGACATTATATTTTACTCTTATTTTTAGAATTATTTAAATGTCAATGTATTTTATTTTTGTCCTCCTATAAGACTCTTGACAACAAATTAACAAATTATAAAAAGGCCTTTGTTATATTACGTATCCCATTTTTTCCCTGAAAAGTGAAATGTTACAAATACATCTCATGGATATTTGGACAATGGCTGCCTGGTTCCTGGAAAATCTCATGAATCTTTTCTCTACTGAGTAGAACCTGACTTCTTTCTTCCTTCCCAACCTCCCTCTCTTTCTCTCTCTCTCTCTCTCTCTGCTTCCCTCTCTCTCTTTCTTTCCAGTAGAAGTACATTTAAAATGAACTTAGTAAATTTTGCTGAGCTTAATTAAATAGATTTCATGGGGGCTGTAATTCTTATGGAAGCTTAGCATTATCTTTCTAATTCTTCTAAAACATGATAGAGCAAAAATTCTCACAAGGACAAAGTGTTTAGCCTCTGCTGGAGATTTAGATATTTAAAGCCAGAATAGTTTTTGGAGATTTGTCATCCAAACTTTTCTTTTCTCAGATGAGGAAACCAGGAAGGTCCACAAAGAGAACTTTGGCTTGACCTCCACGTATAGCACTGTTGATCCAACAGACCCCTTCAGGATGATTCACTGTATTGACCCGTGACCTTCACTCTTTATACCCCCTTTTTATTGAAATACCGGTGGTGACAAGCAGTGGGAAGAGTGATACAGTCATTCATTTATCACTTAAGTGGTCCCAGGTATTTGGAAAGAGTGTATCTTGGCAATACACTCAAGATTAATAAAAATATTTATGCATTCTAACTCATTCCAGGGAATTTTTCATAAGTAACCTAAAAAGTAAAAAAAAAAAAAAACAAGTAAAAATACCTGATGCTAGAGAAATAAGATAAGTAAATAAAAATAGATGAGATATGATGTAGCCATTAAAATAATAGTCATGGAGGCTATATAGTGATATGAAAAATATTTATGATGTTAAATTAACACAGAAGAATACGCTATTACACTTACACTTCAGTTAACGACTCTCCCCGTCCTCTGTGTGTGTTGAAAAGGCTAGAAAGTGAACACTGAACTAGGAAAATCGTTCATCTTGGGTGGTAAAATTTTGTATGTTATTTTCCAGTGAGATGATTTCCATAATTGCTGTTTCAATGCCATTTATTCAATAATTTTAATCAGATTTCTAGAAATTCAGCCTCATG